TGGAGCGTTGGATCAAAAAAAGGGATGGTCAAGATGCACTGTGACATTTTTGTAAATAAATGGAAAAATAAAGGGACAGGGGCATCCGAATTAAATGGAATCAGGGGCATTTTGGGGTTATAGAAATTGACTCGCACACATATGTCTCCTATCACCATTCCTTATCAGATATCTCTCTCTCTCTCTCTCTCTCTCCATCGTATCTCTTCCCCTCGTCTCCATCCTCCCTCAATCGGTCCACCTCTATGTCCGTCGACAATGAACGTCGGCTACCAATCAACAATCTTTCATATCCAGATCATCGGTGAAGAATTTACGAACCTATAGATCGACAATGTTCGTGTTCACCTTCGATTGCGATACTTGAAGCCCTAAATCGCCCGATTCATGATCATCGATTCATCGAGATCGATCAAGAATGATCTCTCAAGTTTTTGTAAGCATCAATTTAGGTATCGATTCATCATAAATTGGAAGTATTCTTCTAGCTCACTCTCTATCCTCCAATCTCCCCAATTATTTTTAACCATTAACTTCTTAATTACACACACTAAAAGCTTTTATAATCAGGTACAAATCAAATAATCATACCGTTCCATTATTCCTGAACCAAAATCAGTTGAGAAACAAAGCGGAAGGAAGCGTAAAACTATAGCAACCACATAGAAATCGGCATCGATGAGTTGAGCTTCCAATTCGGTTCCAGGTAAGTTTGATCAAAGTTTTAATCATGTTTCGTTGTTTATGTGTTTGTTTCGATTAAGTTCGTAGGATAAAATTGATCTTATGACGATCGTTGACTGAAAACCATAGATGATAATGCTCTTGATAGCTTTTGAAAATAAATTTGTTTTTGCTATCGATTTTGGATGAAATTGCAAGGAAAATTGTATTTACTATGAAGATGTACATGTAAAATCGTCATTAGTGAAGATTTCCAAAATTGAAATGATTATAAAAGCTTTGAGATAGAGAATCAATGGCGGAAACAATGCGATGATGAAGAAACCCACTGCTAATCGCCTAATCGTTATCAATATGCTAAATGTAATCAATCTGAAAAGAATTACATTAAAGAATAACATGATCAAACTTCCTATTTACACTAAAAGTAACCAAATCTGCTTCATGTATTTCTCTCATATCTCTTCAAAATTTCTAGAATTTAAACTGGTTGATGAATTTATCTGATTTTTTATGTACGTTGAAAAGCAGCTATTCCTTTAGAAGCATCAAGTGGATCATTATCTGGATCAGCAAGCTTCCGGAAGAAAAAATTGTTGAAGAAGTGGAATTTGTGTCTCTCCTCAGGTTTGATTTTATTCTTCAAATACCTGTCATCATTTAAAATTATAATCATTGTTAAGTGGAAAACGTAAGAACACTCTAAAATTAATGGCTTCACTAAAATCACTAAAGAGATCTTGTAATAAGTAATAACTTATCCCACATGGATAGAAAGTGAGAATTGTTGTTCAGATATTATGATTCCTTATCATATTCCCCTTCTCTATTTATTGTTGCCATGGGAGATTTAACTGTAGTATAAATTCAGGCTCTTTGTAAGAAGTCCTATTTTCTACTTAAGAGCATTATGAGACAAAAGGAGAAGATGAACATACTTGATATAAAAATCAATGATGGTGTCATTGACAAATGTGTCTGGTTGTAGTAAATCAAGGTCTCTTTTGCTTATAGAAACAACATCAACATCTCCTTTGGGGAAGCATATTTTCATGACAAACCTGCAAATGCCCTTATTTCTTAGACACGCTAAATAAACACTGGGCCCTTTTTTGTCACCACACTCATTATATCACTATTTAATATTGTATTTTTTTTTATCAACTTTCCCAAAATGAGGCTTCAAAACCAGAGGGTTAGCTTTCCTATTCTTGTTTTATTTATAAAAACAAGTCAATATGAGTAATCATCATTCAAATCTAATTTAATGTCTGTATATACATATACATACAGAGTCAATATATGTATATGTAATCAATCAGGTAACAGCTGAGGAACTGCATTTGCTGTTGATCCTCAAATTGCTTTCTCTTTGGGGGCTAGATTTCCAACAAACACGTTTCTAAAGGCAGAAATTACTCAGTTGGTTCAGGTCAGTGAATTTAAAGTTTGAATTTTTTTATCTTATATCTGTAATTACATGTTTGTTTGTGAAAATGTTACAGACACATATCTTGGAAATCCGTAGCATACCTGAGGCTTTACCATATTTTGTGATTACTAAGGCTGTGGATGATAATTCTCCTCTTTTGCAACAATTACCATATTGGGCTGCTTGTTCTATCACAATGGCTTTGGAGTTCTTTACTCCAGCATACAAAGGTCATCCACGTGTCATGGCTTATATTCTCACGGTATTGGAATCTTACCCTCCTTCCAAAGTAACCTTTTTCATGCTCCAACTCATTCAAGATTTGAGGTATGATGATGAGGTGGGTATTGGCAACAACTTCCTTTAATCAATTATGAAAGTACAATCATAATTTGATAAAATTTCAAATTACAAATTAAGGTATCAAAATTTGGATGTATTAAATAATATGTTGGGTACCTGACTGAAGTTCCAACATTTGCACCAACATGAAAGAAATTTGGATGTATTAACTTTTTACAAGTTTGATCTCATTTATTTTTAGGCTAAATGCAATTCCATTTTGTTTCTTATTAGGACGTTATACTTTTAAAAAACTACTTTGCCAACTTCTTTTCATAAAGTAACATAAGTATAAAGGCATGATGTTTCACTGCCAACTTCTTTGTCATAAATTAGGCAAAGTTTAGCTTCATCTTTCTCTTCTATGCCTTCACTTTGTTTTATCATTCTACAGACAATTGTACATCATTCATTGAATCTTTATTTCTTTTATATCACCATATTTACACAAAGAAGCTCATTATAATGGATTCTCTCGTTGATAATTATTTGAAGCCTTATTCATATCAGTCGTCTAAAGGTTATTCTTGATATTCTGGAAATGCTAAAAAAGTCTGATGTCAATGCAATGCTTCATTAATTTGGATTCCAGGTGTGTAGTCTCAATTAATTTTAGATTTCTTAGTTTTTTTTAATGATTTTTATGAACACGTTTTATGTTCTCCTACAACTGCTTTATGAATTGTCTTTGGATCCCCTCACATTAATTTGGATTTCAGGTGTGTAGTTTCAATTATTATCTTTTTTGCCGTATATAATATCCATTGTATTAATTTGGATGTGATTTATATATTTACATGTGAATTACATGTGATTCACATGTAAATCATATGTGATTAACATGTAAATCATATATGAATAATATGTGATTCACATGTAAATCTCAAGTGAATTACATATGAATTACATATATATGCACACATTCATATGTTAATCACATGAAAATCACATTTGATTCACATGTAAATCACATTTGATTCACATGTAATTCACATGTGATTCACATGTAAATCACATGTGATTCACATGTGATTTACATATGATGTCATATGTAAATGTGATTCATATGTGAATCGCATGTGATTCGTATGTTAATCACATGAAAATCACATATGTATTTTTGTGAGTGTTTTTGCATTAATCATTTTTAAAAATTTTTTTTGTAGATTTGGAAGAAATTGTGGTGAATATTGAAGAGGTGAAAAATGATAAATTGAAGAAAATAAAGAAATAT